TGGTCGCGGGTGCGGGCGGGGGGGGGGGGGGGGGTGGGGGCTGGTACAGCTGGCTCTGCCTCTAGATAGGCAGAGCCTGCTGTCACTCACGCAGCTGGGCGGATCCAGACATAATTTTCGGGATCCGTTTCAGCTGCGGCGTCTCAGTAGCTGCAGCTCGCGGTATACTGAGCTTTCGGTAACGGGAGGACGCTAGTTTGTGTCCTCCCGTTACCCTTCGGAGAACTATGGGGAAAAGCCCTAACCCCATAGTTCTCCTTTAATATATTAAACACAGGAACAGAACTATTTCCACATAGTCTGGAGTTATTCTTAAGAGGTTCACATAATTATTGATTACCTCACCACTTGTCAATCATTAAGGTCTTTGTTGTCTTTATGCTGTTATCAAGGTCAAATATCTCATGCATTAAAAGCCACTAGTAGCTCTTTGATTCAAAATTCTGTTGGCACAAGCCAACTACATATTCACGTGAACAAGTTAAGATTCTTCTTATTACACTTGCTGTGAATGGCTAGATTACCTAGATTACACTATTAATATCATAGTGGCTTTTCTCTGTGAATACAGATGATATATATATATATATAGATCTATATATATAGATCTATATACCTATATAGAGATATGTATATATCTATATAGATCTTTATATATATAGACCATTTCAAACCTTGCTGGAGGTCTTTTTAGGGCTATTTAGCTTGGACTGTTAGGTAAACTCTAGGAAATAAGCACAAAAGGGGCGCCTTTCCTGGTGCAGATCAATTTTATTTCAGTAAACATGAAGTAAAGAACCGAATAATACTCACAAACATGAGTGTCACACAGCCAACTGCAGAGAACCCTATAATATCAATTTCTGTACCCAATTCAATGATGGGGCTTTCCAAATCTCAAGAATATTGAAAAATCACTGGCACATACTGAGAGAAGATCGCGTCTTGAAGAACTCTCTCCCCAGCTGTCCTAAGGTCATCTTCAGAAAACCCAAAGACCTTCGCAGCAAGATAGCCCCTAGTAGACTGAAGTCCATAAAAACATTGAATTCTGGTAAAGGTATTTTTGGCCAAACAGGATGTTTCAAGTGTAATGTATACAACTGTGGAACATGCTCGTATCGTTGGCACAGAAAAAAGGACATTTCCCACTTAGATAAAAGTTTTCCCACCAAGCAGTTCATCAACTGTGCATCACAGTTTGTTATCTATGGTCTCATTTGCCCTTGCAGTAAATTATATGTAGGTCGTACGATCAGAACTCTGCGAACCAGGTTCGGAGAGCATAAGAGAAAGATCATCAAAAAAGCAGACGACCACTCGGTGCCCAGACATTTTTTGGAGGTCCATAGCTCTAATCCTGAGGGACTCAAAGTATTTGGTATAGAGATGATACCAGATAACTTCGATGAAGGTACGAGATATAAAAGATTATGTCAGAGAGAGACCTTTTGGATTTACTCTCTGAACAGCCTACACCCTAGTGGTCTCAAGGAGGGCTTAGAGCTGGTGTCTTCTCTATAATTCTTCTTTACGGCTGTCCCAACCACTGCTTCCCCTGTGACTTCGACAGTCCCTCAAAGGGGGTTCCATCATTTTCACCGGCCACCACCCCCACAGTTATCCCCGACCATTCCCACTGTTCGGCCCTGTCATATCCTCTTATTCCATCCTAAATCAATTTTAGTTTTGCGTCAGTCCCATCATTATCTGATCTTTCCAGTTCTTTTACATGAAGTCATTTTATTCCAGCTTATTTCATATTATATTATTTATTAGATCTGGCTTTAGTACTGGTCTTTTATCAATCATATGTGGTTACCCATGGGGTCCCAATCTTAATATATTTATATATTTGATTATGCACAATTTGTATATATCCTATCTCTCAGTATGTTATATATTTTTTATCATTACCATGCATTCTCACTATTTATCATGTTTTTAATTTTAATTTTATATATATGTCCCTATATATTTTTATGCATATCTAACATATGGCTGCCTGTGTTCACATACATGTGGTAGACATCAGCTTTAGTTCACCTTTCCTTCATCCATCTCGTATAGGGGACTGAGTTCCCATAGTGCTTGGTATATTCAGCACATGCTGTCAGCTGACACCTTGCCGTCCTTAGATGTATTAGCCAGTCCGGTTTTCGGGTGCCGTGATATGCTGAGCGGCAGCGACACCCAGTAGATGGAGCCCGAGCCGTTCCGGGTCCCCATTGGCTGATCGCGGCACTCCTCCTTAACATGGTTCCCTAGACGGACACAGCCACGGCCGCAACAGCACTAATTTCGTGATGTGCCTTCATGGCTCGCCTCTGATTGGCCACACAAACTTTAAAGTTGGAGATGAGAAAGGTGACGCTATGTTCTGATGAAGGGGGCGTGCCCCGGAAACGCGTTAACGTCACTACACACAGGAATCGCCTAGTGGACATCCTACTGCCTGTCAGCTCTTATCCCATGGCTGTGTGACACTCATGTTTGTGAGTATTATTCGGTTCTTTACTTCATGTTTACTGAAATAATATTGATCTGCACCAGGAAAGGCGCCCCTATTGTGCTTATTTCCTAGATTCTCAGCTTTCCTGGCTTCTTTGGGGCAGCATCCTGCAGTATGCCCAAGAGGATTTCCCACTGAGGATAGACAGTTCGTGGCGCTTCACTGTTTTTACTTTGTTAGGTAAACTCTGTAACATCCTATAATTACTTCTGTACCATTTTTGGTAATAGGATTATTGGAAAAAATAAATAGGTAAAAGTAAAATATAAGAACATCAGTGACACTTACTGTGGCTGCAGCATCCAAGTGGTAAATCAGACGAGTGCAAGTTCCAGCAGGTACTATCAATCGATCACAATCTATTGTAGCATAAGCTTGCAGCACAGCAGCGCTCAAGTAAAATGTTGCTGTAATCCCATGGTAGATAACATCCTAATAAGAAAAATATGGACATCAGAGTTCACAGCAGTGAGATCAACAACTTTACAACAAAGATGTACAGTATATACATGGTTTTCACATTTCAGAAACTGTTCACTTGCCATGCATTAACTTAAATTAAACATAGGTCTGTAGTATATCTGTATTGGTACTGAGTAGTAAAAACCAGAGTGCCCCGAATCCCAGAACGATCTATTTTCCCAATGCCAATTTCCAGCTGGAATTGGCCCACCCACTCCTGTCCTCTGTCCTCCCTGTCAGCCAGTTAGGCCACCCACCATAATCAACACTAAGGCATATAAGGCAACATGGTGTGAGTAGCTTTATCGTAGGAGGTATTTACATAATAGAGTGTCCCAGGTATTAGGGGTACATGGGCACTCTAGACACAAACTGATTTTAATATAGGTGCAGTAAATGAGTACTATGAAATTCAGCTGGCACTTAATACTTAACCCAAGCATAGGTTTACTTTAAAGTCCTAAGAAAATATTTTGTATAAGGCTCTGGCAGTGGGCAATCTGCAGCGTATGCCCCTGATACATCAATCACAGAACTGTTCACTTAAAGGCTTCTGAAATATCTATGGAAAGTGATAATGATTTTTTTGATGGCCCTAACAGTTTGGCACGATTATGTTTTGATTCAAGCTCTGTATCAGTTCTTCTATAGAGAAGTGCTGTATCAGCGGAAACATGCATTTTCCAAAGTGAAATCTCACCACTAGGTATAACTCCTACAATTAAAGATTTGACATCTTATCAGTGAAAGTAGAAAATACTTTTAATGAATCACTAAACCACAATGCGATGAGTGCTCCAATGCATACATTTTAGTTTTTTTTTAACTCTGATGTGTGACCTTTTTAGTTTTGGATAGAGTGGTGAAAAGGTAGGCCTTCTATCAAGTTTTTATTGCTGTCTGTGTCCCTGCTAGGTAGATTCACCCTCTTCTGTCTTGGTAATCATTATCACTGAGAAAGCAAGCAAGGGGAAATTCAAAATTTTGGAGTTATTGCCAGAAAAAAAGGGGGTGTTCTCTTGCTTTGTAGAAATCTCCTCTGACTTCCTGTTGTGCCTCTGGGACAGAAAGTGAACGGAAATCTCCCCAAAAGGGCATAAACAGCAATAAAATAACATGATATTATTATCATAATAGAGGATTTATATAGCGACAACAGTTTGCACCGTGCCTTACAATATAAGGAAGACATTACATTTACAGTACAATACAATTCAAGACAAAATGGTAAGGAGGGCCCTGCCCGTGAGAGCTTACAATCTAAAAGCATGTGATACATGAGGAGTTAGCTGTGTGGAGATGAATTGTTGGAAAAAAGTGATAGCTCAGTTTTTAACCCTTCTATACTTTATCCAAAACTAAAATAAAAAAAGTTTTGCCAATACATTCACTTTTAAGTGTACATGTAGCCTTCTTATAGAGACTTTAACCCTTCCCTGCGCCATCCAAAACAATAATACAACGTGTTTGCTGGAGTTGTGCTTTAATTAGGATTGTTTGTATCATAGCCATATCCTAAAATCCCCTTTTAACCATCATAATATCTGCTGTTCAGTGAGGATCTCCTATAGGTTGTAATACGCAGTACTACAAATTGTATGTATACCAACTATTAACATTTAAATAAAGAGCTAGTTAGTAGTAGTTGTTTTCCTATTTCCTCTCACAAAACTTTTTATGATTGTTTCCTGTAGCCCGCTCTCCTCTTTTTATGCTATGGGGATCCAGCCGTATCACGTATTCACTATAGCCCGTACAGCAGCTGAAGGCGGCCGAGCGATTCAGACAAGCCGAAGTCATATGCTTCGACTCTACTGAGCCGAAGTGACAGGTGAAGCGGGGCGAAGGCCAGCCGTTCGCCCAGCAAATGATAGCTGGGCGGAACCAGCAGTGATCTCGCGGCTGGCTGCGCCCAGTTGTAATGACATATCAGCGTCCCCAAATAACATGGGGACGCTGAACTGTCATTAAACAATAACAACTGAGCAGAGCCGGCCGTGACATCACAGCCGGACCACCCAGTTGTTATTCATGAGCCAGGACCTGCTAGAAGACTCTAGCAGGTGCCAGCCAATAGGAAACAGTTGGGTGGAGCTAGCTGTCACAGCTAGCTCCGCCCAATTGTTTTGCTTTCTTTTTGTATTATAAAAAAAAAACTGCAGTGTTCATGCTAGTTACAGTCTGCATATGCATATAAATGTTATTTTTGCCAATAGTTCTACTTTAGGCTCCTTCCCGTTTCATAGTTTTTATCAAAGATGGACACTTGAAAAATCCTTAGGTAGAATTGCTGGTGTAAAAAAAAAATTATGTTATAATTTAGTATGGTAAAGATACAGTAACAAAAATATCTTACTATTATTTTCCAGGTGTTGCAATGGTTTCTGTGGAAGCCAAACAAGTAGACCATCAGGAGTAGCAATGAGAAGAAGAATGAGGACACTGAAACATACATGACCCATCCTTGCACGAGAGGTGCAAATACTCTTGTAGCAGCAACCAGGATCCAAACCCATGCTCCAAATAGCTGAAAAATAATTAAAAATAATGATCAAATAACCTATAAAAAGCGCCATAATATTTACAGACACTTATAGAAAATTACAACTGGAAAAAAATGTACAGGATTGTTTAGAAAACTTATAAAAGCTTTTTGTTGCAATCATTTATTATTTACCAAATTAGTAAAAGATCAATTAACTATTAAGTCTGAAGGCATATGTTTCCAGCAAAATATAACAAGAGATCAACGTAATTTATCTGAAAGGTTGCACAGTATATGCTATACCTGTAAACAGTCACCGTTGACCTGTCTCCACTGAGGGAGGGGACAGTGTCAGGTAAGTGTGCCATACCATCCATACTTGCACAGTACGGCAAAAGCTGACCTGTGCACTCTCAAATTTAGTTCTGCTTTAAGAAGAAAGGGGTTCAAAGTAGACCAGCTTCATTTATACTATAATAATGAAGAATGGTAAGCTCTGCCTGGTAAAAGCTTGTTATGTATTCGCGTAAGTATACAATTAAAGCGAAATAGAAGTTAAAACAAAAATTAAAGGTTGTTAACAGGCAGGCTATTTATTGCAGAAGAGACATGCCATGTTTCTTCCACAATGAGACCAACTGAGCTGTCTGTTCACAATCTTCTTTAGAATGTACACTGAGCTACACATGCACAGCTCCACAATCTCAGCACACCTTGGTGCTGGAATGGATGAACTCCTGTGTCCAAGCATGGAAGTTATCTCATTCCAGCTAAAGATGATGGTCTAAGACCCAGCACCTGGAAGAAGCCTGGGAAAAAATGTCAGCAAGGGAGCTCATGGACGTCTCGTTGCTGGAGTGAAGGTAAGCATCTGCAGACTTTAGTCCTGCTTTAAGATTACAGTAAACTGAAAGCTAAAAGATTTTTTTTCCTTTTTATCTTTGGATACAAAATTGCCAGTTAAAGCAGCTGGCAGTTTTTCTGTTGGCTTCTGTGTCCTTATTGGGAAAATGTCCCCTTACTTCCTGTAGCAATGACCACCAAGGAAATAAGAGAAATGTAAAACGTTACAGAAGTTCTAACACTTCTCCACTCGCCTAAAGAAGTGTTTTGTTGCTGTATGTGTCCCTGATGTTGGAGATGTCTATTTCTTTGCTTTCCCAGTAATTGCATGTGAAGTTAGGGTAAAACGCCAGCATGCTGACAAAAAAATGTTTTGATAAACAGCTTTTCTACCTAACATACAATGCATTTTTTTTTTTAAAGGAGGTATAAGCAAAGAATGAATAGGTTCTATGTAGCCTGACCTTAGATGGTGGGCTAGTGGTATCTTTTCCTGTCTATGATTTGGCCACAGCATCATCTGTAATATGTCACTGGAGTACTCAGAAAGAAAAAAGGCCAATCGCTGTTTAGAGTGCACCATATTCCCATATTCATGCTGACCTTAGAAACGGACACCCTCTGCAACTTACACCTTCTCTTTCCTGTTATTGTGGTACAAAGTATCACTGCCTTCAGCAAGCCTAGTAGGGCTGCAAGCCTGAGAGACTGCAAGGAAAAGTACACCATATAAATAGTGTAGAGTAGTGTAAAAAATGGAATCAATAAATCATGCTAGCCCTTAGCACCTGAAAGGCGCCCCTTAAATGGCTTATGTACATGCACATGTGTCTGAACTGTTTTCTTTACCACACAAGTCAATGTAGAAGCAACTCAAAAGTACAAACAAAAGTACAACTTAGAAGCAAACCGTTTTTCCCTGAAATAACCTGAAGGCATAATGTATTCCACTTGCTTCTGAGACTGATATCCTTATACAGGCTATAATGAATCTTCAGCTAGCTGATAAATAGTATTATTTTATTATTATGCTATCTGTGTCCATAAGTGACTGTCACAATGCACCACTCTGTAATACTATAACCCTCGATTGATGATCAGCCAAAAGAAAAAATAATAGTGACGTGCTTATGAGATTTTATCACGTTAGTATAACTATTTCTGATTTCATGCGTGTCTTTGGGTGTGAAAAGGTGTGCCTGTAAATTGCTTATTTAGGGTGTGAACTTACTAAAATATTTGTCAAGGAGCAAAAGGCAAAGGCTGAGCTGAAGAGGTGAGCACTGCAACGTGACATTAAGCAGCAGAAGTGGTCATAGTGTATTTTAGATTAATCACAAGTCAGGATCATACATTTCCACCTTCATTTCTAGCTATGAGATGATGTCATCTGGGACCTACTTCTATGATCTCACATGGCCAAACTTTCCAACTTTCTTAGATGAGAAAGAGAAACACCTTTCATTTCAACGTTTGTAAGTAAAAGACAAAGCCCCACCACATCCCCAGAATTAAAAAAGAACAATGGAGTAACCTTTTTATCCCATAGTTCTCTTTAGGGTCACGGGAGGACATATACTAACCTCCTCAGCTCAGTATATAGCGTGCTATATCCCGACAATACTCTCCACCCAGCTGGCAGATTGACAGTGGGCTCAGCCTATCAAGAGGTACAGCCAACTGTGCCCGCCCCCTACCCCTGTCCGTTCCTCCAGTCAGCACTGGAGGATCAGAGGGGGGAATCCCTGTGGGGAGTAGTGACTGACAGTCACCGCTCTCTGCAGGGAGAGGATCGGGAAGTGAGCGAGAGATGGTATGTGTTCACTCACTTCCCGATCAATAGAGCCGGCCTGTGACAGTTGCATTGTCACACGTCGGCTCTAACTATGAGGATGAATGGAAATCACTCACCTCATAGTTCTCCTTTAATATGTAAAAATGATTGGGTAAATGCACTCATGCCTCAATGGGCACACAGACACCAATTAAGAACATGACAGACGTTCCAACCCCTCCCCAGTCAACCCTTTTGCTGCCATGGATGTAAGTACTAGGTCTGTGGCATCATGAGCCTTGTAAACTGACTCCTGGCTGCTATTTCATGAATGGCCACAATGCCTAAAGAACAACTCCAGAATTTTAAAAAAATAAGTGAACTGTTTGTTTTGGTATAGGGAATGGAATAAAGAAGAAATACTCACCCAATCCTCAGTCCCGTGGCACAGACTGATCACGGGTCCTTAGATCGCTGGAGCCCAGGGGAGGAGAGGCTGCAGGGAGCAATCTAACAACCAGGCAGGACCGAAGATCAGGTAAGTATTTCTTCTTTATTTTCGCCACTAAAGAAAAACAAGCAATTAACCTTTGCAGTGCGGGGGTGGCCCCACTGCAAGGATTCATTTTTTAAAAATCCTGGAGTTGTTCTTTGAATCATTATTTGCAAGAATGGAAATCACAAAATAAACAGAAACAATATATTTATAAAGTTGTGATACAAAGTTGTATGATTAGCATGCATGTCTTGTTGTATTCCTTGAGACCCTATTGCAAGATAAACTGAATAGCATTGCCTAACAATACAATTAGTGCAATCATTATGTTTATTTACATAAAGGTATGTAAAGGCCAAAATGTTGGTGTTAAGATTGGGTTAACTCTTTCGCCGCCAGAGCAGTTTTTGCTTTTTTTTTTTTACACACATGATAAAATGCAAATTTTAAGCCTGAAAATTGCTTAAAGCCCCCCTTCCCCCCGAAAAATGATATGTAAGTGCTGACAGGCAGGTTTAATATGACAAACGATACTGTGTAAGTCTCTCCTGGCATAGATCCTCCATTCTGCCTGTCAGCACTTTTTATTGTTTCCATATACTGAAGCAGCCAATCAAGCAGTTGAAAACTTCAAACCCGGAAGACCAGAATGAAGATGGAAGTGCCAGAAGGGAGGAGAGCGACGATATTGCAGTGCTGGACAGGATTACAAGTCTGCCATAATGTGCTAATATACTAGGCATTCTATCACATTATAACTTTATTCTCCAGGGGGGCTTTTTTTTTTTTTTTCTTTACCCTTTAATCTGCAATATTTTGGTCTTCTACATGAACTGCAGTATTTTAGTCTCCTTCATGATAAGGTAACAGGCTCTTTGAAATTCTCCTCCCAAGATTGCCCTATAAATCCCTTGGCCACCGTTTCAGGAGGTGTTCTTCATTATCCTCTGGTATGTCGCTTTTATGTGTTTCAATAGCAGTTTCAGTGGCATGTAGGTGTGTCCAGTATTCCTGAGTTAATAGTTCATCTATACAGATGAACAGAATGAAATGCATTACACTATTGTCATTGGTTCATGTACACATTGCCTGTTTTATTCAGCTTATCTTTCTGTGTGACCTTGTCTTATTGGCACTGACATTTCAATCATGTGTACATATCATAAAATAAAAAAGCAAGTTATCGGTTTTCCAGAATTGTTTAAACATGAATATGAAAAGATTTATCTAAATGTCTTTTTGAAGAGATCTAATGTAGAATAAATGCCTGAGATGTGTTTTCTTGGTTTCCCATCCACTTCTAACCATATGTTCTGATGATGGTCCAATAAAGTAACAAATATAGTAATATACTCAAAATTGCTTAGATGACTAAACCTCACAACTATTGCTCATTTGGAGGGACTGTCCCTCATTTGGAACCTAATCCCTCTGTCCCTTTTCCTCCTCAGTTGTCCCTCTTTTTGGTCTGATGAAGAGATACTGTATCTATGAGAAGATTCTATTTACCAAATGTGTAATTATGCACTAAAACCATTATCTTATCTCTTAATTGCCTTGTTTGCTCTTTTGAAAAGCCAATAAAATGGAAAAGTAATGATGAAGAAAAAAATCTGGGTTTAACCAATCAATTTTGGCATATAAATTCTTAATGGTCGACTCGACATAATCGGGGGCATGGTAAGGGTGTGTCAAATTTCTAAATACATTGTGCTGGAAGGTGTTCCTATTTCTCATCTCAGAGAGTTGGGAGGTGTAGATGACACATGTGAGGAATTTATGAAGCAAGTCATGTAACCTGTGTTAGGGACATTAACACCAGATGTGCTGGGCTGAGCGGGGCAGCCTTGTCCATAGAGAAGGCAATTTGCTTACTATAAAGTCAATTCACACCACCACGTTGGGTTGAGCTGGTCAGCCTTGCCCAGT